GAGAAGAGAGCTGCCTTGCAGTGGCTGGTAAGGTTGTGGCGCAGTTGGGGTTGCAGGGGAAAGATTCACGAAGACTAGGATGCCATGGCAACTGCCAGGGACATGAATGTACTGTGTATGAATTGGCATGACTGCCATTGGGGTAAATGATGTGTCCTCTCCTTTGGTCCACCCATCTGTCCTCTCAGCTGTCTGTCGGGCTCACTGACTTAGGCTCTAGAGATGCCGTTCCTTCTGGGTCACTTGATCCTTGGCAAGCTTGTGGCTGTTGGGCAGACAGACCAGAGGGTGCACATGGAGAATGTATCTGTGGGAGAGAGAGAGAGAGAGAGAGAGAGAGAGAGAGAGAGAGGAGAGATGGAGGCTGGGAGTATTAGGTGCAGCAAAGAAAACAGGGATAGGAGGGAGCTGACTCAGTAGAAAGAAGATGCAGCGCCAGAGGTTAGGGTAGAAGAACATATTCTGGACTCTGGAATGAAAGGCACATGGGTATGTATTTTGTAGAGGAAAGGAAAGTGGGAAGGGGTATGAATGGAGAATAAAATAGAAGGAGATCCACACTAAGGCAGACTGCTAGATTCTGGTGTTGCTTTCATCTTCTGCCTGATGATGCTCATGGCTGTGAATTTTTAAAAAGCGCCTGCATACTTAATACTTAGTGCTGCCAGCAAGTAATTTGAAATACATTCTAGACCCTGGAGGTAATTGCATGAAAATGTGATCTAAGATGACAGGGAAAATCTTTCCTCGCCCATCTGTTGTAGTGGTAGACAACTGAATATATAATTATAATATTCATCCTTTTGTTCAGTTTTTCCTACCCAAGCCCACTGTTAATCATAATGCTGGAGTACCTGCTGTCTTCTTTATATCCCCACTACCTTCCGAAACTGCTGGGCTCCAGAGCTTCGTTTTCAGATATATATATCCAGAGCACTAAAGGTCATGCCCATTTAGAGAAGTTACAAAAAAGAAGAAGAAGAAGAAAATAAATAAAGAAATAAAACGAAAAGAAATAAATAAATAAAAGAAAAAAGAAGAAGCTAGATTATGTTTGTTAGACTTAGCTGCTCCTATCAGCAGTTTCTGTATGTATGGCATAAATGCATGTGTCATCTGGGGCTGCTCTTTTGAATGCTGGTTACTCGAGGGATAAATGGTGAGATTGATCATTCAGAGGAGGGATGAGTTGGAGAGATGACAGATAGGGGACTAATGGAGGGAAGTGTGTCAGGAGGGAAGGGAGGGTGCTTCGGACAGAGGCATAGTGTGTTGTCATTGTGTGTCAGTCTGTCTAGGTAGCAGAACAATAGAGAAACAGGGAGCTGTCTTAGACTGAGCCAGACCATTAGTCACTCTAGGCCAATATTGTCAGTTCTAATTGGCAGCAGCTCTCCAGGGTTTCAGGCAGGACTAGTTCTTATTCCTCCCTGGAGGTTTCTGGTTTTGCCTGCAGGTTTTTCCCTATGCAGTTATGCAACGGGCCTGATCCTATTTAGCTTCCAGAATCCAGATGCATTCATAGTGAACACAACGGTGAATGGTTAGTACTGGTCTGAATGCAGTGGTGTATTCAGACCAGTAAGCGGGTGGTTTATGATGATTCCTTTCACAGAACTGCAGCACTCAGAAGATACTTTCAGAGGTACAGTTTTACCAGGGCTTTTCTCTGAACAACAAATCCCTGGGAAACTTGGACTATATTGGTTGAGCTGCAGAGGAGGGAGACAGAGAGGCATATTCTGCCCTATTGCTCCACCTATAGGAAAGTTGTGTTCTCATCTTCTCAGTTAAGGAATAACCTCACTGAAGTAGATTTCACATTTGTAGGTTCGCTGAAACAGTGAATCTACATTTTTATCCTTCCCTTTGTCTAAGGAGCTTTGAGCAGCCTAGAAGAGGATCATCCTCTTTTGTTCTACAAGACTCTTGTGAGGTAGAGCTGACAGAGATTTGGTCCCAAGGTCATCCAGAGGGCTTTCAAAATGAGCAGGAATCTAAATCTGTCCTTTTAAAGAGTTTTGCCATTGCTAGAAAACAGATCCTGCTGCCGTTCAGATAGGCGACATGGTTTTTCTGACAGGTTTGTGGAATATTTGCTTGTTTTTTAAAAAAAAAATTGTAGAGCAAAAAGAGAACCACTCAGGGTGCAGAATGAGGACTCCCTGAGACATGATAAGACTGGCCATGTTTCTTGTTTGTGTGTATTTGTGTATTCATATATTGTACATTGGAAGAGGCTGGGGTGAGATTTTTTTAAACTAAGCAAGGATGCATAAAGGAAGGCAGCCCTTCGCTCCATCATATGTGCCATCACCTCAGCTTTTTTCTCTCTGCTCAATTCTGATACTGAGGTAAAGGAAGGGAGGTGGTACAAGGGCTGGTTTCTTGCAATGCACATGCCCCCTCTTCATATGACAAACAGATTCCACCACCATCACTTTGTACAAGGATGACCTGAGAGAAGAAAGAGGGACCACAGCTTCTCCTTCCATGTTCAGTGTGACCCTGACCCTAGATCAGGATTTGACTTCTGTGCTTTTTCCACCTGATCTTCCTAAAACTTCTTGGGAGAAAAGTCAAAGGGTTTGCCTGAAACATGGCGTCTGAGGGCTGGCCCTATAGTTATGCAGGGCAAGGCAGCCATTTCAAATTGTAGGTTAGGTGTCAGAGAATGGCAGCAAACTCTTTAATTGAGGATTAAATCCTGTGATTTTTCTGCCTTTTGTCTCAAAACACCTGAGTTGGCTTTTTGTGATGTGGCTTTGAGCAACTCAATATCAGGATGTGGGGGGTTTGAGCAACTCAATATCAGGATGTGGGACTGTTGGGCCAGCCCTGTGGAGACGGATCTTGTCTGGATGCATCTCATCAATCCTTATTAGAAAATTTACATGGTGGTCTGGAGGTTGCTCATATTATTTGAACATCTGTGTTCCTTTTTGTTTGGTAACTCATGTTTCAAGCTGTCATGCTAATGAACCTTTTTGTATAATCCGTACAGTACAGTTGGATGTCCTTTGGTGTGTTAACTGTAAAGTTTATAAAATGCACCCTAAGTGGTGAACTTTAATTGCAGCACACAACCTCATCTCAAATAATTTGTTAAAAAACAAGGTGACTTCCATTTCAGAAGAACAGTTTATGTGTTTATATATTTACTTATATATTTGTATCCTGCCTTTTCAAACAAGTACTTCCAAGGCAGCTTATAGAATTTTATAGCAAATCCAGTCCAACGCAATCTGTTGCATAACTGAGAAAAGCAATAAAATTATGTATAATAATGTAAAAAAACTCACTAGGGTATCTTAGGAATCCCTCTGATATATCCTTCCTAACAAAAGGAAGATGTCTTCAAAGTACATAAAAGTATGTAGGGTTGTACAATTAATTCTGGTATGGCATCTCAACTCTTGGTACGGCACCTATACCTGGACTATACTTTTATATATCATTTGTTATCTTTATGAGTTTGGAAATTTCTTTTCCATTAAATATGGCATATGTAGGGAGAGCAGGGTAGAATGAATTTCAGGAAGTATAAAACTTATAAAAGATTTGTTCCCTTCCCCTTAATCACCTTGATACATTTACAATGAGAGTAGCTGAAGAGTGGATTTGTCTCTGAATTTTTAATTTACGCTAGAACATTGATTCATGCTTTTCAGTATGCCTTATTTTAAATTGTATCATTACCCCACTGTTCTCCTAAAAAGGACTCAAGGCAGCTTATATAATCAAAAACATAATAGCAGCTAAAAACAGTAAATTATTCAAATATTTTTTAAAATTTAAAAACTTGTCTTTTCTCTTTGTGGAAAAAAAAGCACAGAAGAGTGTTGATCCAAAAGACATAAATAACCCATCCTTTGTTTCTGACTTTTAGAAGTCCATTCAACAAGGCAGCAATTGTCATAGCTTCTCAGAGATGAAAGAAATTTTGCTGAGATGGCTAGACGTTATCTCTGCCTCACAGACAAGCAGAAAATTTTGTGATTTCTTGTTCTCACAGATGAGAAAGAGACAAACCACACTTCACATTGTGTGCATGTGTAAGAGAGAGAGAGTGATTATTTGTGCCTGCAAATGTGAGCTTGCTGCTAAGGAACAGTCTTGATTCTATATGAAATAATACAAAGGACAAGGATGTGATTTTACTATTTTTGAGCCCTGCTTGAGAAGCCACTGAAGAGATGTAATATGGATAGTACTTGCTCCAGAGCAACTTGGCAATACTCTGCTATGAAATAATTTACCACTACTCCAGAGTTCACTACCTGATAGGCACACCATCTTGTGGTGACTTGCACATGTGAATGAGGCATTGCACATCAAACACTGGTGGTACAGTGGTTAGACTGCTGTACTGCAGCTAAAACTGTGTTCACGACTCTGGGTTCAATCCCAGGTAGCCAGCTCAAGGTTGACTCAGCCTTTCGGGGGCGGTAAAAGGGGTCCCTAGCTGCGGGGGGGGGGGGGAATGTGTAGCCTGCATAATTAACTTGTAAACTGCCCAGAGAGTGCTTGAAGCAGCAACACATAACCACCCATACCAGGGTGAAGGGAGATGGAAGCT